TAACAATTAGATTTGAAGTTTAAGGCGGCACAGTGGCGTAGTAGCTAGCACTTAGTCTCCGGTTCAAATTTCAGTCAGGGACATTAACCTGCAAGGAATTTGCATGTTCTCCCTGTGCTTGAGTGGGTGTCCACCGGGTACTCCGATTTCCTCCCACACTCCAAAGACATCCTGGAAGGTTAATTGGCTCCTGTGTAAACTGGCCCTGAATGTATGTGAGATAGGCAGAGGTGAGACATTAGATTGTAAGCTTCTTGAGGGCAGGGACTGATGTGAATGTACAACTACTGTGTTTCCCCGAAAATAAGACACTTTCTTGTATATTTTTTTGGCTCAAAAAAAACACACTAGGTCTTATTTTTGGGGTAGGTTTTTTTTTTTTTATGTACAACAATCCACACTTATTCATGTAGAAAAGTCTACATGTATTCATGTACAAAAATATGATGATCAAGGCAATCATGGGTGCCGTACCTTTCCAAGAGCAATTTGCTAACCAATCGCTGGCCAGAATGAGCGAAGCACACTTTCACTATCGATTCCTCCCAGGCGGAGTGCATTTGGTATCACTCCGCCTGTGACAGGAGCCGGCGCTATAGAGGAGGCATCAGCTTATGCAGCTCTGCTCCATACATTGCCGCCTTGCTTCCTCTAGCGCTGGCTTTGTTGGCACCGCTGATTCTCTCCCGCGGCTCTTCAAGTTCCCCCTTACCACCGGCCCTGGGAATGGTCACAACTAGATTTCCGGGGTAGGTCTTATATTTTAGCAATTCCCAAAAATAGTACTAGGTCTTATTTTCGGGGTAGGTCTTATTTTAGGGGAAACAGGGTATGTAAAGCACTGTGTAAAAAGTGTTGGCGCTATATAAAATACCTGTATCAAATAAATAAGAGGAAAAAAAGCTGGAAGGAGTGCCTGCTTACAGGCCAAAGTCATGTGACCAGTGTTCCTCAAATCAGAGCGCTCTGTCTACTGCATTAAGCAGAGAGAACTCAGTGAGGTAACAGCCTTAACACCTCATACCTGTATTTTATGAATGGGACTCACAATGCAGCCATTGTATAAGGGTAAGGAAAAACGAGCCTTTCATTAAAAACAAAAAAACAAAACTGTATTCACATACTGTTTTTTTTAAATGTTTTGCTGCATATTAGCATTTCTGATCTCCTACATACATATACCTTTTTAAAGGAACAACACTGCTGAAGTGCTACACATTGTGACTGCAAGTACTTGTGCCGGTCTTCAAATTGATCTTGGTGTCTCTGTTGAGCGTCTTGAATTCTAGGCTAAAGGTGGCCATACACTCTACGATTTTCCTTCAAAATTAGCCATACTAACTAGGGATCCATCGATACCATTTTTTCGGTATCTAGTACAAATACCAATATTTTTTTTTGGTACTAGCCAATACCGAAAGTCCCATTAAGGAAGCTGGGTGGTGTGCAATGACTCGCCACCTGGCTTTCAGATAAGCCATGGAGCTGGCTTTCTAGCCAATCAGGAAGCTAGGGGGGCGGGTAATGACTCACGCCCGGCTTCCTGATCGGTCAGCTTCCCGACTAATCAGGAAGCCGGGGGCAGAGTCATTACCTGCCCCCAAGCTTCTTGACTGGCCAGGAAGCCAACTCCATGCTCCCTGCGATGAGGGAGCATGAAGCTGGGTTCCCGGCCAATCAGGGAGCCAGGCGGCGTGTAATAACTCACCGCCCGGCTTCCTGATGCTGGAAGCACGAGTACTCGCCCAAATACTCGGTATCAGCACATTTACTAGTATCGGTGCATCCCTAATACTAACCAACCAATTTTTGAAGAACGTCGTAAATAATAAAAAAAAAAATTTAGCTGTGTTCTTGCAGAGATTTTTGATGAACGAAAACCCCACTGATTCATCGATTTTTGTTCGTTCAGAAATAGTTTTTTCCAACCTGACCGAATGAAAATTTTTGATCTCAATGTAAAAAACGAAAAAAATCGGTGATAAACCATCAACTGTTCAATTTGCATTCGCAAGACCATTCCTGTACGATTTCAGAATGAACATCGCACAGTGAATAAGCACCTCAAGGCTGTACGCAAGTTTTGCTCCCTTCTGGTCCTAAGCCAGCACTGTCCATAAGTATCAAATGGCAGAACTTCAGGTGAGCAGTAGTTGCTCTGGCATTTGGCAATTGGCAGAGAGGAACCTGATCTCCACTCAAGCAGAAGTTTTCAGGGGTGGGAAGCTTATGTACAGCCTGGGCCTACCATATAAAGGCATCCCCAAGAACACAAGGCTCAACACAAATACTACTGTAGGTAGTTTCAGACATCACAAGTTACTGTGCTCGTGTATGGTTGTTACCCTACAAACTTTTTACACCAGGTCACAGTCATTTTAAGCCGTCCTCAGACTCTCTACTCATCTCTTGCTGAACATAACCTAAATTATTCACTGTGTTAGCTGAAATAGAGAGAAAACATCATGTAAGAGGAATGTTGTAAAATAAATACCACAAGTGTAAAGTACATATAAAGTTGCACACTTCCAACACACATTACTGTGACTTGTGTGATTGTGCAAAGCAGCAGTAAAAAAGCAGTAAAGCAGCAGTTAAAAAGCAGTTATGCACTAGTAAACCTATCTCCCGGTTCTTAAATGCCTATATCGTTAGGACACAGCTCTACTTCTAGCTTAATGAACCTTACGGAGTTCAAGTCAGTGAACAAGCACAAATTAATGCTACATGGAAGAAAAAACGGGAGTAAGGTAGCCTTTCTGGAGGTGGCTTTGTTTTTAGGATGTTGAAGGTAAGCTGCACCCCCCTTGCTGAATGCATGCTACCAAGGCAGGGGAAACTGGTTAGGCTGTAAGAAGGTAAAAACGTATGTCAAGGCAAAAACATAAAATACATTCTGTACAACAGATGCCTATCTGCCACAAATGCACTCTTAGGCCCTGTTGTGGGTTAACAATACACATTTGAGTGGTGTCAGTCCTGCCCAGTGTCTTTTGCTAAACTACTCAGACACTCCTCTCAGATTTCTACAACATAAAGGCTAATAATTCTGTAGTCCATGATAAGAACTAGGAGGGCTCTTGGGAACAACACAGGAAGTGTTCAGAGGACACAGGACAGCTCTAATTTTCTGACAAGGCAGTTTTGTTGCCCTTATTAAACAGATATAACTAAACACTTTCAATGGTATATGTAACAGATCAAAAGAATAGTTCATGGTTAGGGTTTACACACATTTTAACAACCAGTATTCTGAGAAGCTGCTATAAAGAGATGAATTAGTAAAGCTAGATGGTATCAGGCCTATTGGACAATATAGGCAAATATATTAGTTAAATATGGCAACCTTGGGAGAGTAAATCTCATTAAAATGAAGATCTTACCTAAACTGACATCTCTCTTCAGAAGTTCCCTATATGGATTCCTAAAACTTATTTTCAGCAGTTTACACAACTAATTTCCTTCTTCCTATGGGGATCCCAGCCCCCAAGATATACATTGTCTACTCTGACCCGTCCCACTCTTCAAGGTAGTCTGGCACTACCAGATCTTCACAAGTACATTCTTGCTACCCAATTAGTGACAGCTCATTGGTGGGCATCATCAAATACCAATGACTCCTCAGTAATGTTGGAGGCTGCAATACTGAATTCCTTGGAAGCTTTGCAGAGTTCAGTGTTTAGGGGACCCGAAGCTCCCTAAGCTCTCACTTCCTCCATGTTTACTACCATCAAAGTGTAGTGGACTGGGATGTCATGGTGTCCTCACAGCACCCAAGGCTTATCACCTCATACTGCCTTGTGGAAAAATCCACTCCTGTCGCACTTTAAATGGTTATCGAACATAGTCAGTGACAACAAATCGATGCCCTTTGAGATATTCATTTGGAAGTATTCAATTCCACCCTCCTATTTTTTCTGGTAAATTTAATTCTCTCATGCCTTCATATCTCAGTTCCCTGATCGTTCACGCGGTTAGTACATCTCTTGCTAGAGAACAACATCTTTCAAAAGTGGTCTCCTGCTTCTATCGTCTATCGTTACAGACCCTATGTCAAACCCCTCTCATCTACAAACCATATGGACTGTTGATATTCCAGACCTGGAAGATGCGGATTGGGAAGAGGTCTGGAATACACAGTTTAAACACCTGGTTGCAGTGCGAGACCGGTTGTTTCAGTTTAAATTACTGCACAGAGCCTAAGTCACACTGCATTGATTACACAAGCTTAACCATAGTATTTCTGCAACCTGCCAGAGATGTGGATCTGCTACCGGAGGTAGTAGAGTATGTGCTTCTAGCCACTTCCTTAAACTTCACCACCTAACCGAAATTGTATTTTTTGGGATTGGTAGAGGAGTTGGCCCTACTAATGCAGAACATACTCTTCTCAGCTTATTCTTTTTCTATGTCCGCAAAGCAATAGCGGTGTATTTGAAGTTTCAAACTCTGCGGTAGACTCAGATTCCTAGTGCGTACCTTTTGTTAGATCTTCTCGGATAGCTTTCTAATTTACTCCTAGTTGTGGGGTAGTTCTTGACCGGCCCAAGGGCCACCCTTTTGCATCTAATGCCTATTGTTTTAGGTTGTGATTCTAGCACATGAGCCAACTGAGGGGAAATTCCCTACATATGGTTGATTCCAGGCTGCTGTTCTTTGTTTTGTACTGTATCAATCTCAATAAATACATTTCTTAAAACAAAAAACTCAAAACATAGCAACCTTCTGCATAATCCTGCTCTGAAGAGTGCAATAGTTTATAAAGGCTTTAATATCTTATAGAAACCAGTTGCTATGGGTTACATAAACATGTGCACAGTGATGGGTCTCTTTTTTGGCCACCATTTGCTCTGATCAGCTCCCTCAGCTCCAATTGGTATTAGATGGGAACCCCAATGTAATGTCTAACACTTCAAAAATATATATAGTAAGCCTTTAGGTCGTCAATGCTATCTGCTGAAGAAAAAGTTACAGTGGTTTAAATACAACTTCATTCTTACCAGTATTAGCCAGGGCTTCAGGCTGTGTGGCACTTTGTATGGTCAAACTGTGAAAGAGTTTCCACAGGGAACAAGGGTATCCTCTCAGCAGGGATCTGCTGCCTTGACAGCCCACCCACTGGATGTGGTTTGTGAGGAAGATTCCAGAAATCTGTAAAATGACAGAATTTAAATGTTAAAGTGTGCAATGATTCTGGGAAGTCTCAAATACAAACACTGCGGTCATTTCAGAAAACAGAAATCTAAATTTTGTCTAACACTTGCTGAAAACCATATCTGCCTAGAGATGGTAAATTACACTGTGGCTTGTATAGTAAATTATTAAAAGTTAAAAAAAACTAGTGCATATACAGAAATAAATGAATTGTGGAGTACACATGAAACTGGCTGAGAAACTCTGACCCAGTGTGCTGGTCTGAGGTAGAGTCTTGATTAGCTCAATCCCGAGCTTACCTCTCACCAGTCTTAAAAAATAAGTAATGTCTCTTTGTGTCAAAGTTGGAAAACGGTGTGCAAGGAGGAAAGCGCCAAAAGCAGACTGTATTAACTCCAGATTCATATTTAAAACACTCATATACAGGGCTTGAAAAATTTGGCGGTGTCTCACCAGTCAGTCAAAAATGTCACCAGTCAGCATGACCGGACTATAGCCTTGCAATAGATGTTAAAAAATTTTGGGGACAGATAGAGCTTTGTTTTGTGACCCCACGGGGGGTTATTTGTTTTTACTTTATAATGAAAAAAGTACCATAAATGTAAAAAAAAAAAAAAAGTTTCCCTATGTTATAAAACATTCTTACCCATATTTTTAGTACAACATAAAAGTCGGGGTCACGTCGTGTAAATAGACACCAAACATGTCAAGCCTTAAAATTGCGTGCGCCCGCAAAATCGCAAAAAACGCGCATACGTGACGATTAAAATGCTTTTACTGCTCATCAGTTTAGTGTTATCAGTGATTGATGGCTCTAGAATTATTGCTCTCACTCCGACATTTGCGGCGATATGCAACATGTGCAGCACAATAGGCGCAATCGTCGTTTTCGCACGTAGGCGCACCCGACGCATATCTACGTGTGTATGTGGGGGGCGGGGGACTTAAAAAAATGTTTTCTTTTTTAATTTTTTTTTATGCTTCTTTATTTTTTTTATGATTTAATTTTTATATTACTTTTTTTTTTAACACAACTTTATTGCTATTACATGGGGGGCTAAGAAGCCCCCTATGTGATAGCTAATCTACATGACAGGTCCTCTTAATGGAGACATCAGGGGTCTCCAAGACCCTAAAGTCACCTAGGGACCCCCGGAGAAGCTGATGAGGCAGAGATCGGCTTCATCAGCTTCTCTAGCTGGAGAGTGACACTGAATGCAGGAAGTGATGTAATATACATCACTTCCTGCATTGGGGACTGAGAGGAGATCAAAAGGGAGTTCGTGTACTGAACTCCCTTTGATCTCCTGTCACAGAGCCGTGCCGGTCCCAGCCGCATCGGGCACAGCGGATCTCGGGACCGGCAACGGCAGTGACAGCTTCTGACACAAGCGATCGAGCGTCTCTATAGACGCTCGATCGCTTGACTGTAAAGCTCCCGGCCGGCCGTGTAATCCCAGCGGCCGGCCTGGAAGCTGCTCGTCGGGCTCCACTGTCTACTCGTCACAGACGAGCAGACGAGTGGATTTTCGAGCCCTGCTCATATATCATAAAGGGCCAACACAAGTCAGGGGTTTAATGGGTCCAGCTTCATCAGGGGTTGTACTGTTGAACAAAGTGTGTACTAGACTGATACAATTAGAGAGATTATGAGGAGCAATTAATATGATTGAGCCAGATGCTGGAGGCTTAATAGGCATCTGGGTAAATCATACTAAACTACCCCTCAATTTGTATCAGCCCAGTAATCACCTGGCACTGTGGAACAAAGCCTGGATTTTATTCAGACTGCTTTTAGTGCTTTCTACCTTGCACACCCAGTCCATACTTAAGCAAGGAGCCAACTTTTGGTTTGGCCACCACTCCTGGGAGAGCTGCCGAAGGATAAGCATTCCCTCTACACTGCTTAAGACTTGAAAGTGAACACCTACTATTTTAAGAGATCCAGCGTCCCACACCCTACTTTTTGGTGTCTGAGAACCACAAGGATTCCCACATGTCCAGAATATGACCCCAACTCACCCGCATTTTGTTGTTGACTATATCCAGGATGGCATCATAAGGAATCTTGTCCAGAGGCATACTGACTAGCCACTCCTGCAGTGTTTCCAGCAACTTCATTACATGGAGGCGCCCTGGGAACAGCTGAAAATCATTTTTTTTAAGCACAAAGTCTTTTTTTTTTAAAAGACATAGAAATACATTTTTTCTACAAATGCATGTAGGCATTTTATATTTTCAACACTTATAATGCGAGTCTATTAATTCACCAGGTTTAACGTTTCAACTACCTTTGAACAATTTTGGTACATTTACTTGCCATTTTCCTGAACGCTGTCGTCTACGAAACAACTCTGGAAAGTATTTTATTTAAATTCTTGGAGGTTGCATGAAAAGACTATGCACAGCACGGCAAACTTTACATGAAGCATTTAACAGCAACAAGTAACAAAACTGTGGCATGAGGCTGCAATGGATGACAAAAGGACTGTCAACTGCAAGTGAACCAAGAGGCAGTGCCCTCTAAGATCTTCATGGTGAGACAAGCATACCTACACTGTACTAAGAAAAGTGGAATTCTGTCCATACCAGAAAACAGTAGGTATCCCTGCACACCTTACAGCGCTTCCGGTCCAAATGAAAATAGTGGTACTTGCAGTGACAATCACGGATGGCACCGTGTACAACAGTCAATGAACAATAGAAATCACCAGCACTCCGTAAATGAAATAAAAAAAAGTCAATTTGGACTAAACGTCACACATATCGCATAATCTAACGTTTCGGGACCACGCAGGGTCCCTTCATCAGGGCAGAGATGTGACAGGGTCACATCTCGGAGTGCTGGTGATTTCTATTGTTCTGTCCATACCAGATTCTAAAAGTGGCAACTGAACTCTGATTTGTTGCTGGGTGAAACCACAACCCTCTTATTTTTCTTTCTGCTGTACAGATGCTACTATAGCTTAAACAAATTAGCTCATATCCTTTTTATAAATCCTGACGAAAAAACATACTAAGCAGATACATGTACTGCCTTCCATGCACCAAGCATTAAGTGCCGTGAACAAAGCAGCAGACATTAGGATAAAAGCACAGACATTGCATCTCTACCCTGTAACAATTTGATCATCTAAATAAGACACTGAGACTTATCTGCTAAAAGCATTAGAGTGTACTGCTCGTCATGCATAATATGAGAGGCAGATTAAAACTACAGCTGCTCCAAGAAATGATGGTGGGCAGAAATTCTGAACCTTCCATTCTGCTGGGTGACAAAGCATTAGGAAAGGCTTCACCCTGTAGCATTCCCAGACCATACCAGATCAACTTCAGTGCTAAAGTGGTGTAACACTTTCCGACCAAGAAAATCCATGAACAGACATTCTTTTAAGATCCTCCTTTGTAGCTTGGTAAGTAAACCAGCTTTAAAAACACTGCCCAGGGACAAGATGATCGTAAAATATGTTTGGAAGTAGCCACAATTGTATATCACAAGGTGGCTGCAGTCATAACAGATCAGTTAAAAGTCCCACCTTATGCAGGATGGTTATAAAATCTTTGAATGCTTTCAGTTTCTCCCCCTCAAGTGTCTGGTGGGTGGCCAGTTCAACTCGCAAGAGGTAATGCAACCCTGATTCCAGGTCGGCTGTGTAAATCTTGGACCTAAATGAGGAAATCAGAGATAAAGTCAAGACAATGAGCTCACTAGAGAAAGAAAAATATTATTTCAAAAGGAAATTTTTTGGAAGAAGTAGACTGTGATCAAGTGATGGGCGGTTTAAACGAGAAAGGGGGCGCGGGGTGATAAGGCTGTCACTTGACAAAGTAGCCCAGCCCTGTGAGCACTGTTCACTTCAGAATGGATAAGAAAATTCAGTGGATTGCTCTGCACAGAATTCATGATCAGAAACGACTTGGGTACCTAGGTTACGGACTGCTTGTCCTTTAAACAATCCTCCACATGATTGTCCATCATTTATCAGGGCTAGTTCACACCACTAACAGTGTGTTCCGGCCTGATTTGGATCGCATTCTGGCTGCAGATCGATCGCCCACATCCAAACGCGTGGCACAATGCCCGCGTTTCGGTCTGAAAAAATTCTGCATGCACTATATATTTTTTTGGCAATATACTTGCAACCCTTCTGCACAGGTACTGGGGCAATGACACTGTGCCTCAGGCTTCTTTGGCTCAGCAAAACGGATGCTATTGTCGCCAGTGGCATTCCTGATAATGGCATCCAGAGTATATTCAAAGAGATGTTGTCCCTTGAAAGTTATGCAGAGCAAGCACTTCCTGAATGTAGGCTATGCAGTCCAACAGTCCAAAGAGACCTCTGAATGTGAACTGGCAGAATACCCATCCAGGAAATGAGGGAAACTTCAAGCAGACTGTCACAAATGCAGCTTAAAGCTGAACTCCAGAGATTAAAAATACCCTTACAGTGGGAGGTAGGAGGGGTTAGCCTGGGCTGGCATACAGTGTGTTTGCCAGTGTTCAATCCTCCTGTGCAAAGCAAAATGACCTGAAGGTAGAACACCTCCTGTGTACCTCAAAAGGATGAGAGCGAAAAGAATGCATTTGAAATTGGTTACATGGTTTTTAACACCTCATTGATATTGGGCACTGGCAAACAAAATAGCTGCCTTAGAGCACTCATCCGAAAAAAAGTGTCATTAAACAGAAGTCCCATGTAAAAAAAATCTGCCCACTGTGCAGAATGTACAGTGAATGCGAGGCACATACTTGTCATATTCTTTCCAGACGACCTCCTCTTTGACAACCTCTGGGACCAACCTTGCTGGAAGGTCAGAGCGTGCCCCTGCCTTCTTCCTTATAGAAGGCAGAGATTTAAGATGAGAGGAGAAGACGGATCGCAGAGGTTTAACGCTGAAAAAAAGATAAAGAAATTACTAATCCTTGAATTTCTTCACAGAAAATCAATGCAAACTCTGAAATACTTTAGCTCCATATTTGTTTCATTAGAGTTGTCTTTCACCTATAAACTCCAGCTTTGCCAAAAACCTATGTACCTGCTACAAAAACATTTTGGATTAACTTCATGAAAAGTCTGACGTATGTAAGGATTATCTTTCCATGGCAAATGCAAATTGCAATCCCCTTCAACCATGGTAAAAGTGCCCCAGTATCAATATGCCCGGTTCTGTAACTCTAACACTGCCACTACCAGTTATCTGCACAGAGCTTGAGGTCCAATTACAGTCAACTGTGTGCATGAAGTACGGCATCCCTGGTGTGTCGGAGTTTACTGCACCGGGAAATCGTAACTTTTGTAAGAGGCATAATACAACGACACCAAGGTTCTATGCTTCAATATTGGGACTGATCATTTAACTGAATATTGTTTTCTCCACACTGCTACTATATATTTCTTAAGTTACAAAGATCTAACAAATTCTATTGCACTTTTAAAATTCCTCAATCAAAATCATGAAATGCCTAAAAAACACAAATAAAATGAGGGAGAGAGACACAAGAGCCATTTTAAAGAGGACACAATCAACAGTTACTATGTTACGGCTGAGTAACATTAAACCAAGCACTGTGAAAACACACAGCATCCTCCATTTAGAGGAAAGGAAAGCACCTTGTATCTCTTACAGACACTTAGTTACTTACATGTTAATTAATCCGTGCGTACCGTTGGGGTAGATCAGGTAACATGATGGAACAGAGACAATACCAAGCGTCTCTAACACAGCCTTATCTGAACTTAACGCTCTGTGCACCAAAATGTTTTCATACTGCATCAAGTCCATTATTACCTGAAGGGGGGCAGAGATCATTGTCAGAACAGAAAACACTTTTTTTAAAATCAGATTTTATTTTAATTTTTTACAGGTAAAGAGATCGCAAGTTATTTTTTTAAACTTTACCATAACTTGCAGCAATCCAAAGACCACATTAAACCACTCATATTAGTCTCTTATCTAGATGAGCTTACATTTAATGTCCCTACAACAGTCACACACACACAACTATTTCAATGGCGCTGACATATTCCACAGTGCTGTACTAAAAACAATGAACCATTGAAATTAGCCTTTGACAAGAGGGAAGAAGAGTCTAACGACTCCAGAGTCCAACACTTTTATTATTATGATGCACAGGGCCAGATTTACTCGCTCTGCTACCCCAAGGCCAGGTTCCCCAATGCGCCCCCCTGGCCGCCAAGCCCCCCCCAACTGAGAATGGCAGACCTGGCGCCGTTCCCTGTAGGGATTCCCTCCTCCCCTCTCCTATCCTCTAGCGGGCTAAATGTAGAAAATAACCACCTGCCCGGCACCTGAAACTGCATGTCGCAGGCATCGGGAGATAGGAATTCCACACACCTGCCATGTGGGAAATCCAGCCCTGATGATGCATTTATAGATCTCTGACATATTCTGCAGTGCTATACAGAGAACACTGAGCCATTACTCATTAACCAGACATTAGTCTCTGCAACAGACAAGCTTACAAACGGCACATCGAGCTCCAATGTGCAGCCCACCAAGTGACAGAAGCCAGGTAGTAAACAAAATGCTCCGCGTTGCAGTGCCAGCTGCATAACAGCACAGACAGGGTAAACAGACATTAGCAGACTGTCACTTGCAGCTCCCATGTGCTGCCAGCTGCCCGCATCACAACACAGGCATAGTAGATGTAAATAGACAACAGCCTACTAGCACCTACCAGTGTGCAGGCTTCCACATTGTTACCTGCACACTGGCATGCCCATGGCTATAAATGCAAGTGCCAGCCACATCCCAGTGGCAGTGTCCTCAAGTGTAAAGCAGGAGAGGCTGCCAAAACAAAAAAATCTCTTCTTCCAGCTGTAGGCCAACTTGGTCTGCGGCACTGCTGTGGTCACATGGGCAGGAGGTGATCATAGGGCCCTGCAGGACTGACAATCCCACCTTACTGCTGAAAAACAAGAAATGCTGGAAAAAAGTAAAAAAAAAAAAAAAAAAAAGTGTGGGTTTCTGTCAAACTAATGTGAATTTGCTGTAAATGCAAAAGTCTGCCAGCCAGGTACCCTTCCAGTGTGTCTCAGGATTTGCGGAGAAAAATGACGCACAGGAGAAAAGCTACAAAATCCATGCAGGTAGGGCTCTAGTGGGATTTAAACGCAGTTTGCCAAACTTCAAACAAAAAAAATAATACTAATATCTTCCCAAACCGTGGGCACAATTATGTAGAGTGCAAAAGCCAGGAAACAGGCTTTTGCTGACAACAGAAAAGGCTGAAAATAAGGGTAAACTGAATTTTTTGGGGGTTCATTGATGTCCTGACTCTGGAGATCAGTTCAGTGCTACATACAAAATAAGACAGATCATACACACATTTAGCAATATTCCTCCTACCATTGTAGCCTGGCTTTGGGGCACGACAAATTGCTTACATTAAATTTACATACCAATTGTGAGGGCCTCCCCACAAACACTCTTGTGATCTCACTGGTTTTTCCGGTCCATTTCAGTGCCTGCCCCTTTTCAAAGGACCCTCTGACCCAGATCTGGGGCACAGTGGTTGAGAGCTTTCATCTTTATCTCCATTACCTTCCTCTGCCAACTATGAAAGGCATTCGGGTTTACTCTAGAACAGTGTTTTTACATTTATCTAGTATCTTCAGGCTACAACAATGTCTTTGTGCTTTGACTGATTGCCCGGCTGGACTCACGTCGCCTAATAGGGTTTTTTACAGGCGGTCTTATGCTGTTTTGTTGTGATTCTACTACTGTTACTCTTATTCCTAGGAGCTGGCACCCCCATATGCACCTAATATGATGGCTCGGTTTTGTTGTTTTTTTAAAATACATTCTGATAAAAATACATATTTAAGAAAATTAAAAGAAAAACAACACACCTCCCGCCCAATATAGGACTTCTCACTCTCAAAAATGATAGCAGTGTAGTGAGGTTCCTTTCGACCAAGGAGAGAGCTGATATCACTTGAGCTGCAAAACATGAAAAGAGAAGGATAAAGATGAAGGATAAAGATGAACCATTGTGAGGCAGCAGAGCAGTTCATACACAGCAAACTCCACTGACAGCAACCCAAATCTCCCTTCCAATTCTAAATCTGCCCGTTGTAATTTAAATCTGATAGGGTCAGGAGACACTTTGTTTCAGATACTTGTTAAGACTATTTCCACTTTTGCAGTCAAATTTTAGAAAAACCCCACTATGTGTTTTTATTTGTTCCTATTCACATGGCATACTTTATAAAATGTCATACATTTCTGTGTAGCAGGCCTCTGGGCAGACTTCAAGCTAATGTGAGCATTTTCAAAGTGAGAGGAACTGTCCCCATAGAAAGGCTAGGGACACTCTGAGCTTCCCCTCATTAACATACATTGATTCTCTATCTTTAACCCTTTGTTAGGAGAGACTGTATTCAAATCTCGTCTACAACTTATGAGATCTACCAGCACATTACAAATAGGGTTAACAGAAATCTCCCCACCCTGACATCCAGAACAAAATTTAGTTTAGAGAAAAACTTTCAACAAAAAAAGAGCAAGCACAATATGCAAGCAGCATTTTTTAAAGTTACTTTTTAAGTGATGCTATGGTTATACTGAGCTTTGGGTCACGGGAGGACATTAGTATATGTCCTCCTGTGACCCTAAAGAGAACTATGGGATAAAAAGGTTACCCCATAGTTCTCTTTTAAAACTAGTGTGCCGACATACTAATTTTGATATGAAGGGGGCATGTCAGACCACTGCAGAGAAATTATATACACATTATATATATATATATATATATTTGGCAGCACACTCAGGCCATGGATATATCTTCTGTGAAAAGAAGGGAGCTTAACAAATGTCCTTACAACAAATTAACTGCTTTGTAAACTCAGTGAAATGCATTACACTCAAATAACAAAACAAAACAAAAAAATGTGATAATTGGATGAAAAGCACATTATTCACAAAAGGGTGAAGAGTTTGGAGAAGACAGGAGAAGTGAACAATCTAGGACAACATAGCTGAACCAGAAAGTGAGCTGAATTGGAGAATTTTTCAAAATCAGCTATGTTGTCCTAGATTGTTCACTACTCCTGCCTTCTCCAAACTCTTCACCCTTTTGTGAATAACCCTGTAAGTGCCGAGCCATGTGAATGCACATGCAAAAGGAGCCTTTACTCCACCCACTAAGTTTTATAGAACAGAATCAGAATGAAGACGCTGCAGCCCCACAAAGAAGACAATTTTGGTATTGAAACCTTTTTTACGCCTTAAAAATGGTCTTGGGTCCTAAACATCATTATATAAAGCAGTAGCTTCACTTTATTACAGACCAATTGGTGCTGCCATCATGCCTCCTGTACTTTTATCAGCAGTGTAGGGTTGAGGCTTGCTCTAACCAATGACGTGCACTGTGGTAGAGAAAACCAATTTGGGGTGCTGGACTGTTGCTTTTTCAAGAGGTCTTACCTAATTGGCCCCAGAGCATGGTAAACAGGATGCTGGTGTTCCTTGGGGGCAGCCTGTAGATAATCTATAATCCCACAGCGCACTGTCTGAACCTGTCTGTCAGAGTCTGCAAAATCAGAAGTAGTAAAATCTCACAGCACTGAAAAACATGTCAGAAGTTCATAACTATGCATCAGAAGCTATCTTGCTTCTGTGATATTCAACCTTCAGCATTCAGTGCAAAACTTAGTCATATTTATGCAAAACTTATTAAAATTTTGCATGCAAGTTCAATTTACATCTCTCAGAGATCCCCTCACCTGCATTCTGGTGAGGGGTTGTAGGCATTACTAGGTCAGCTGATAGTGTCACCCACCCCAAGCGATCCGCCATGATTGTTCCCTAACTAAATAATTGTCAAGTCCAGCTGTGAGAAAGTGACACCTTCATTGTAGGAAACAAGGGAAATATGGAGGCTACTATTGCTGACCTCTTGCAAATAACCAGAGACTGGCTGCCCTGGGCTTCAATGCTTTCTGACTCACTGACTCAGAACAAATATGCAGCCAATGGAGATCTAAACACATGATCTGTATTCTTATTCCAGGTCAGTGACTGCATCCAAACAGACGTGCAAAAACATTTTAAAAAGCAAATTGGTAAATGGCCGAAAACAAAATTGTCAAATATTGCAGCTTACTAGTCTTTAGATGTGGTGTTTGCATTAGTTTTCATTTTTCAGGTAAAGCATTTTCAGCAAGTACAGAAAATACCTAATGATCTTGCCAGAAAAGCGGTGGCCTTGTCACATCCTGGGAGCTTAAACGAAAGTATAAAGAACCTTATCTTTATTGTGTAAACAATTCATCACTTCCATCCAACATGCAGTGGAGATGAACACAGGGAAAGAAAGAAAGAAAGAAAGAAAGAAAGAAAGAAAGAAAGAAAGAAAGAAAGAAAGAAAATGATGCAGCCACCACATCCAAGGGCTGTTAAGCTGAATGACACACAGGTGCTACACTTTTCTGGGGCATTTCATATTTTGCTCTGCTCTGAAAAGTAAATGAAAGACTTACCTTTGTAGTTTTCACCTTGTGTAAAATCCTTTGTAAGTGCACTAAAAAACTAAATCAGAGTAAAAATTCTCAGAATGTTAAAATAAAAACACACACTACATATAAGATAATCATTCTAGTATAGTAATCTATTGTTCACTGATGATTTGCATCCTTCTACAGAATCATATGGAAATATTCAATGCAGGAATAAGCAAATAACTCATGTGTACATGTACTGTGCAATATAAACAAATTTCACTACCTTTCCTAAGAACTAAGGCACCCTCAGATATTATAATGGCAGTTTGAGGAAAGGATGCAAAAATTGTGAACGTCAAGGTCCCTGTAAGAATTGGGCCAGATTTAGAAAAACAATGGTGGCATGAGAAAATGTTGAATGATCTTTAAAAAGGACTAGAATTTCACAGAAATGTTATACTGTAAAGTATAAGAGTCAGCTGTTAGGAACTGTTTTTCCCTTGAGAACAGTAAAGACCTTGAATACTTTAATAGGAGCCCCTAATTGTCAATGTATTATTGACATACAGGAGCGTTTATTGAAATCCCATATATATTTATTAGGGATGCACCGATACAAGCATCGGTATCGGCCGCGATACCGAGTATATGCATGGGTACTCATACTAATGCTCTGATGTCCAAAACGAGTACCTGTGTCCGCCATCTTCCACCGCCGCACACAGGACCGTGTCTGCATTCATGCAAGATGGCCGCGAACTCCTTCTCCACGGGCGAACGGCCGAAACCAGACTCCGCCTTCAATTCCTCTGTCCTCACTCGTGATTGGTGGGGAAGCCTGTCAATCATCCAATCGGCCAATCAGCGTGAGAAGAGGCCGGCATTGACAGATGACTAGGCTGTGACACGAGGGGATGAAGCAGACGGAGACGACGGAGAAGAAGGTTAGCAGCACTGCTGGGGCTGGGCACAGGATGGGGGGTGGGCACAGGATGGCCTCAAAAGTTATATTTGCCTGCTGTAGGTTTATAAATTTAAAAAAAATGCACTACTGCTTGCTATTCTATTTGGATGAGGCAAATCATGGATGAGGCAGAGCACATGTTCAGCATAAAAAACAGGATGGCATAAAAAAAAGTTATATTTGCCTGCTGTAATGCAATTAGTAATTGCATTACAGCAGGCAAATATAACTTTTTTTTATGCCATCCTGTGCCCAGCCCACACCTGTAGTGTGGCACAGTTATATCTAATTCCGCATACCTGGCTGTATATTATACATAAAAAAAAATGTAATATACAGCCAGGTATGCAGAAATATAACTGTTCCACACTATATTCTATATAGACAAAGTATTGGGACGGCTGCCTTTAGACGCACGTGAACTTTAATGGCATCCCAGTCTTAGTCCGTAGGGTTCAATATTGAGTTGGCCCGCCCTTTGTAGCTATAAGAGCTTCAACTTTTCTCGGAAGGCGTCCACAAGGTTTAGGAGTGTGTCTATGGGAATGTTTGACCATTCTTCCAGAAGCACATTTGTGAGGTCAGATACTGGTTTTGAGCGAGAAGGCCTTGCTTCTAGTCTCCTTGCTTCTAGGTCTTCAACCAAAAGGTGTTCTATCGGGTTGAGGTCAGGACTCTGTGCAGGACAGTCAAGTTCCTCCACCCAAAACTCGCTCACCCATGTCTTTATGGACCTTGCTTTGTGCACTAGTGCGCAGTCATGTTGGAACAGGAAGGGGCCATCCCCAAACTGTTCCCACAAAGTTGGGAGCATGAAATTGTCCAAAATGTCTTGGTATGCTGATGCCTTAAGAGTTCCCTTCACTGGAACTAAGGGGCCAAGCCCAACCCCTGAAAAAAGACTCCACACCATAATCCCCCCTCCACCAAACTTTACACTTGGCACAATGCAGTCAGGCAAGTACCGTTCTCCTGGCAACCGACAAACCCAGACACGTCCATCATATGGCCAGACAGAGAAGCAAGATTTGTCACTCCAGAGAACACATCTCCACTTCTCTAGAGTCCAGTGGTTGCATGCTTTACACCACTGCATCCAACGCTTTGCATTGCACTTGGTGATGTAAGGCTTGGATGCAGCTGCTTGGCCATGGAAACCCATTCCATGAAGCTCTCTATACACTGTTGTTGTGCCAATCTGAAGGCTACATGACATTTGGAGGTCTGTAGCTATTGACTCTGCAGACAGTTTGCGACTTCTGTGCACTTCAGCATGTGCTGACCCCGCTCTGTCATTTCACATGGCCTACCACTTCGTAGCGGAGTTGCTTCCACATTGTTATAATACCACTAACAGTTGACCATGGGATGTTTAATAGCAAGGAAATTTCACACAACACCTGAATCCAATGATTTGGAGGGGTGTCCCAATAATTTTGGCAAGTATGCATGCATACATACATACATGGCTTGAAAAATCCACTCGTCCGCGACGAGGGGACGGCGGAGCCCGACAAGCAGCTTCCCGGCCAGCCGAGAGCTTTATATTCAAGCGATCGAGTGTCTCGAGACGCCCGATCACTTGGATTACCACCAGCAGTCACTGCCGTTGCCGGTCCCGAGATCCGCTGTGCCCGATGTGGCCAGGACCAGCACGGCTCTGTGACAGGAGATCAGAGGGAGATCAGTACACGATCTCCCCATGATCTACTCTCCAGTCCCGTAATGCAGGAAGTGATGTATATTACATCACTTCCTGCATTCAGTGTCACTTTCCAGCTACAGAAGCTGATGAAGCAGATCACTGCTTCATCAGCTTCTCTGGGGTTCCCTAGGTGACATTAGGGATTTTGGAGACCCCCGATGTCCAGTCCAGAGGACCAGTCATGTAAATTGGCTATCACATAGGGGGCTTCTTAGCGCCCCCATGTGATAGCAATAAAGTGTAAAAAAAACAAAACAAGTGAATACCAAAAATGTTAAGTCCTCCGCCCCCCACATACACATGCAGATGCAGATGCAGATGCAGATATGCCTGTGGTGCGCCTACGCGCGAAAACTATTGCGCCGCACATGTTACATATAACCGCGAACGTCGGAGTGCGAGCAATAATTTTAGGGCCATCTTTTAGGTTTTACCAAAAATATAGGTAAGAATAGATGTTTTATAACATAAGGTAGGGAAACTTTTAAAAAAAATTTTTTTACTGTACTTTTTTCATTATATAGTAAAAAATAACACCCCCCCAGTGGTGATTTTATATACTACCAAAAGAAAGCTCTATCTTAGCCCTGAACCTTTTAAATCACTTGATTGTATGTAAAGCATTACACAATTATTTACCATAATATTTAAACAGGAGTATCTGGAGAAACTCGATACATTTGGCGTCCTTCTTTACTAGTAGACCTTTGCAAGTGTCATTCAGGGATGCTGGCCTAGTAATACGATCGTGAGGCATAGGCACATCTATTTGTTTTTGCCATCGCCACAGCACTTACCCGAAACGTTGGGTAGAACTGGACACCGTAGTCCTTGCAGATGGCTGTATTTTCCTCATCGGCACAGTTTAACACACCAATCTTTATTGCCGGATGCCAGTCTGGAAGGAAAGAAATCAGGAGTTTCAGACGAAAATACACATCTGGCAGGCTGTTTTCATGACAACACACGTCTTCAGTTACATTACATAAAGGCTTTGCAGATATCCCTCGTATGTCACTTTAGTAGCGGTAACACTGTATCAAACAGTCATAAGGCATAAACAAATCTCCACTGATATTCAATCTGGATGTCGCTGAGCAGGTACAGCTAATGCCTCCATATGTCTGTGATGAAACTGGACCGCAGCAGCAGACTGGCCCCAGCACTGGGTAATGGATGAGTCTCTATATTTTTAGTAACTACAGAAGAATATCACAAATCAGTGGTTCAATTATCTGTGCTGAAAAATACAGAGGAAGATGTATGGAATTAAATGCAGGCTGACGGAAGGTTTTGGTCCCAAGGTCTTTGCAGAAGATATGGGCAGACCAACATCATGGCACCTCCAAAAGACCACTGCCAAAGCACAAAAACAATTTACAAAAGGGAAACTTTCAGTAACTTAATAAGTGTGCATAACTAAACTCCACATGTGTCGCAATACAAAGCAACACTATAACTGCACTGTCATTAAAAAGCCATCTTTAATATCCAGTCAGATAACTTTTTTAGGCTAGGATGATGTAATCAGTCTGCTACAAGCAAAAAAAAGTTATTTCTTAGTCTGCTCTCACACATTGATCATTCAGACTGTATATTGCAACTCTGTAGGGCTAGTTCACACCAAACGCATTCCAGATGCAGAAGAGAGCAGTTACAGAATGGATCAAAACTGCGTCCAATGTATTCCTATAGTATTTTTGGGCTCTAGTTCACACCGCAGCGTTCAGTACCAGAGCATGTAAAAAAAAACTGCAGCCAGCCCTATTTTTCCTGCTCTGGAACGCACAGAAAGCCCATTTTAAACGAAGAAAAATTAAAACGCCCCGGAACGCATCAAAAAAAGCGGTGTATCTCCCGGGATTCCTCTAAAGCCTTCATCCGTGGTCAGTACCAGTATGTGATCAAGAAAACTAGGCGGGGGGTCCATCTCCAGCTTAATGAGACCGAGGAGAGGGCAAAGGCCCTTGAGCGCAGGTATACGGACACTAAAGACCCTGAGCTCTATTCAGAGATGCAGAGTGTTTACAGGGATTTAATGCTACTAGGCACGGATGCGTCCCGGAGATGCTTACTTTACCAGACCCAGAGACTATTCGCTGAGGGAGAGCGCAATGGTAGACTTTTGGCCTGGCTGGTGAGGGAGGGGGGGGAGCGTGCAGTGTCTCCAGGGTGACAGATCCGGATGGTTCTGTTTAAACGGACCCTGGTAGGATCACGGCCCGCTTCGCCTTCTTTTATCAGGAGTTGTACCGGTCTAGGGTGACCTACTCGGACCTCGATCTCTCGACCTACCTTGACAAGATTGACTTCCCTAAACTGCCCTTGGCCTCTCGTGTAGCACTGGATACACCCTTCACTGACAAGGAATTGGCGAGGGCCATCTCCTCCCTAAAAACCGGTAAGACGCCGGGTCCAGATGGATTCCCAGTGGAGTTCTATAAGACCCATGCTGAGGGGCTGGCCCCCCACCTATTGCATACCTATGGGGAGGCTAGTGGGGCGGGTGCTCTACCTCCCTCCATGATGGAGGCGATCATAGTGGTGGTACCCAAGCCTGGGAAGGACCCTGAGCAGTGTTCGTCTTATCGCCCAATATCCCTCTTAAACGTGGATCTCAAGATCCTTACCCGTATGCTGGCTAATAGGCTCAACGCTGTCATCACCCTGCTGATACATGGAGACCAGACTGGATTTATGCCTGGGAGGGGGGACAGATGTTAACCTAAGGCGCCTCTTCACTAATGTCGATAGGCTCCGCGCATCACAGGGGCGGGAAGCAGTGGCATCCCTCGATATCGAGAAGGCGTTCGACTCCGTTGAATGGCAGTCCTCCGTAGATTTGGGGGGTCGCTTTATCGCTTGGATACGGCTCCTCTACTCTTCCCCCACTGCCAGAGTACGCATCAACAATATGCTGTTGACCCCCTTCGCCCTGGGCCGGGGCACGAGACAGGGCTGTCCCCTCTCGCCTGGACTATTTGCACTGGCGATGGAACCTATAGCTATCCTGCTTCGGGCCTCGGCCCGGGTGGTGGGGCTCCCAGTGGGGAGATTGATGGAGAAGCTTTCACTCTACGCCGATGATGCAATACTTTACCTGGGGGATGTGGGGCCTTCCCTGACAGCGGCTTTAAGCATAATAGACACCTTTGGTTCCTTCTCAGGGCTCCGGGTGAACTGGGGGAAATCCTTGCTGTTCCCGCTGGGCTCGTCCCCCCTTCGGCTTGATCCGGGCTTGCCCCTCACGCAGGTTTCTGAATTTCGATACCTGGGTGTGGTGGTGAACTCTGATCGTGCCCGATTCCTAGAAGATAATTTATATCCCATACTTAGACACCTGAAGGCAAAATGTATGGCATGGAAAACTCTCCCCCTGACACCGGTGGGTAGAATCAACTTACTGAAAATGGTGTTTCTCCCGAAGTTTCTTTACTGTTTCCGTAATACCCCGGTCCAGATTCCCATTTCCTTTTTTCACACACTGGAAGGAATTATCTCCAATTTTGTCTGGGCGGGAAAAATTCCTCGGGTGTCTAGGGGAGTCCTCCGACTCCCTCTGTCTGAGGTAGGACTGGGACTGCCATGCTTCAAAACCTACTATTGGGCGTCGGTTCTGGTGGTGGTTTATAGGGGATCAAGATAACCCGGCGGTAACTCTGGAGGCTGCTCTGATGGGTTCTTATGCAGGGCTGAGAAACTTGGTTTATAGGGCTCCGAAGGCTGTTGGGTCACGGGACCTATGCGTACTGTACTGGCGGTGTGGGACAGGATGAGAAGGGGACGGGTGCCGGCTGGCGCCATCTCCCCCGATGACCCGTTGTGGGGCAACTTAAGACTTGAACACCTGCTCTCTGTCCCGGACCCCCAGGTTTGGGCCCACCGTGGGATCACAGTGATTAAGCACATCATGCCGGAAGGCACGTTGTTGAGCTTCGACAGACTGCGGGCCAACTACTCCCTACCCCAGACCATGGGTTTCAGATATATGCAGCTGAAACATGCGTGTAGAGCCCAGTTCCCTGACCCAATGACTATTGCTTCGGACCGTATTGAGCGTTTCCTAATGTCGGTCGGAGTTCATAAACCCTTGTCCTCCCTCTACCTGCGATTGACCTGTACGGAGAGACCCCAGCTGACGACCCTTTATGAGAAATGGAGGGTGGACATCCCTAGTCTGACGGAGGAACTTTGGGAGGAATGCGTCCAGGCCTATATATCTACAGTAATTTCCCCCAAGGAACGGTTTATCCAGCTCAAGTTTCTCCATAGAGCCTATTACACCCCTGCTAGACTGGCTAGAATCTACCCTACGGCGGATGCGATGTGTGCTCGTTGCGGGGTAGAGGAGGGTACTTTCTTTCATATGGTATGGTCCTGTAGCAGGCTTCGACCATACTGGAGCTCGGTGGTCTCCACGGTCGAGGCGGTTTCTGGACTGCAGCTGGAGGTGGACCCCTTGCTCTTCTTGCTGGGATGTGGGGAGACCCTTCAGGCCCCTAGGGCCACCAAGCTCCTCCTATTTTATGTAGCTTTCTATGCTCGGAGAGAGATAATCCTGAGATGGAAGCTAACTACCCCCCCCACGGTGGGACAATGGCTAAGCACTATTGATAGAATGCTCCCGCTCTACAGGCTGACATACATGGGACGCAACTGTGAGCGTAAGTTTGATCGGGTCTGGGGAGACTGGGTGGCGGCCAGGGGACTTACCTTGGAGGGCCCGGGCGGAGAGACCTTACTCCCGCCTGAACCCCCTGAATAGAGGCTCTGATCTGCACGGGAGGGTCTACTCCCCTTCTCCCCGCCTGCCTTGCCCTCCCACCTGGCTACCTTACCCCGTCCTGATATCTCCCTAGTATCTCCCTCCTTGGTCCGGTCCCCTCTCCTCCTTCCCCCTCCTTCTGATTGCCTCCCCCAAGAGCCTTCACTTAGCAGTATGGCCAGATCACCTGAAGAGATCGGCCGTGCTGCAAACACAAGAGACCAATGATCCACACCGATTTAGTTAGGTTGTGTCTGTCTAGTTTTAAATGTAGGGTTTTTCTTTTTACTTTTCCCATTATTGTATTGTCTTGTACTAAATGCTGTTATTTCATTTTCTCTGTATTGTTTGTGCCATGTTTTATGTATTAAAACCAATACATACCTGTTAAAAAAAAAAAAAAAAAGCGGTGTAACACACTGCACTGCATGTGCAGAAACCCATGCAGATCTGGTCTGCATTTGGTGTGAACAAGCCCATAGCAATAACAAGGTTAGAGCTGCCGATTTGCGTCAAACATTTGTAAACACAGCCAAGTACCACACCAGGATTTACATGATTGTGCCATCTTTGAGCCAACATCTCTGTCCAGAAATTAGATTCTGAACCTGGATAATAACTGAACAAAAATGATCCCATCCTTCTAATAAGAAAAGCAGAGGAAAGCAATCCCATGGGGAGTATTGCGATATCTAGGAGAGGTAATAACTGTTAAACTTTCACATTACTTAGTATCCATGGACATAAAAAATATACCCGGGGAACCTGATGAAATCAGCCATTTATGACCGGTTGTCTTTTTATGTAGAAAACACAATGCAGCAACTCGGATTTGAAAATATGTGATAATCCCAGGGAAGAATCCCCAAACCCCTTGCAGTGGCCTTGGATATCGAGGACAGTTGGCAATTATGTCAATGAAATCTTTGATGGGCTTTGAGCTCATCCATCCTTTAGACCTGAGCTAACCAAAAACTGCCACATTCCCCAAAACACAACAAAACAGCATTACTTCCTTATGAATACAGACTGACAGCAGCTGAGGAAGGATGTCGGTTAAAGCAGACAGGCCGACAGCTGAGGGGACTGAAGGTATCTGAGGACAGATGGGCGGCCATTGAGGTGCAGACAAA